ACTCGAAGATGCTAATACATGAGTGTCTCCAACCCCCAAATCAGTGGATATCTCACCTTCCGCGGCTGACCGCAGGAGCAATAAACTATTCAGCACCTCCACAACTAACAGCCATAAGGGAAATGTAGTTACAAGAAAAGCTTATCACCTCTTCAGCTCTGTTGTAAGACCCAAAGTTAACATTTCCGTGATTCCCCACTCACTAATGAGGATCGAATCATCCGATTACCGGAAGATATTATAAGGCTTGGAATGAAAACTGCTGCGTTTCCACAACTTGGTCTTGTTGTTAAGACGAAAATAATACCAAAGTAGAGACGATACCATCTTGACCTTTATTCATATCTGCAACTAAATATGTTTACCCTGATTTGGTCATTGGTGAGCACCAATTCAATCCGCTTATTTTTATCTTTCAACGCTAATCGGTCAACAAATCAGTCGTGAGACCAGAACTTAATCGGCCTGGCAACCCAACATGCGGAAATTCAGCCTGTCTTGGCTTTCGCGAACTTGTCATCACAGGCTTTCTTTTTAGCCTTCTCAACCTAATCTGTGGTCTCTTCATGATCCTGCTCAGTCAGTACCGCCGATCTTCACGCCTCAGAACAGCCTGTCCTAACGAAATCCTCACCAAAATGGCCACCCACTCTCCCTTCACTATATCACCTCGAGACTGGCACACTGCCAAGCCTTGTTGTCAAGGCAACGGACATAATCACTTTTCTCCAGCCAAGACAGTTCAGTCCCTAGGACCGATCAGCACACCTACGTCACTGAGTGATCTCAGATTGCCGTTGGCCAGTATCATCACAACAGATGCGGTCGGCAATAACCATACTCTCAACCCTGCCATGACAACCATATCAAGTCTGCCCATTCGATTGAGAGAAAGCGCCCAATTGTCTTCTAGTCCCGTCGGCAGTGTCAACCTAGTCCGTCTTCCAAGGCTCGAATTGGACTCGGCAAGTTGTGAGACAGATCATGGGCTCCTGGCGGATACAGCGTACGGACGCCTGGTCACATCGCCATTTCCGTTTTCCCTTCCGTTGTCGACGCAACAAGGACACAAAAGATCCTCTTGTACAGTCTTTTCACCAGTTGACCTCGCAAGGCCAGCTTCGTCTGAGCGCCAAGAAGTCTATCTCTTTTGTGAAGACGAGTCTCCGTTCGCGACGATGCCATACCGACCGAAACAACCCAGTGTTTCACAGAGAGACCAAAGGAATATACAGTCGCTAAGCCCGAAAATTGCACTGGTCCCTGAGGCGACACAATCTGTTCCGTTTATGTGGCCTTCGAGAGAAGTGGCGAATTCCACAGGACATGGAATGGATCCCAGAGGGTCTGTCGATCTTTCGAATACGATAAGCAGAACACCAGCTAACTCTGTGTTCAGATTGGATCGTTTAGGCAACCTGACCAAGCAGCAATCAAGTCTCTTGTCGGAGGCGAAGTATGTGGAAGCGATGAATTGTGGCATCTATTCTACCAACGCTCCTATTCATCCCTCAATAGACACAGAGCCCGATGGATTGGATAATTAGTAAAAGCCCTGCCTGTGGCCACAAACTAAGAAAGATCAGGTCTTTTAACTGATTTAGATCTAGATATTCCCCCAATTAAGATAATTGTCCCGCATATAAATGTTAAACAAGCACTCTTGATGATAGAATTTCATCTTTCTTCGTGTATAAACTCATTCAATTATTCCACTGTCAATCAGTAATTAAACGTTTCATTAAGTTAGAGACATCAAAGCATAATCGGAAATGCACTCATATACTTTTAAATCGACTTCTTAAAGGTGAAGGCTAACGAATCACAACATTTTGATGCTAATTTTATGAATCACAAGAGAGAGGCCAGGGTGCTTAACCTAGAGTTCACTTGATTTAATTTTCCATATGCCTTGTCAGAGAATAATCGCATATTTCCAGTCCATTTTTCATGATTATGGGTAGACCTAAGCGACATATCTTTATTCGAATTCAACTAATCATTTATAAGATGTATTCACCATATTTCGTCTAAGGTGATGAAGGACTGGTAGTAGAATTTTCCCACAATGATATGAGTTGAGCTGACGTTTCATTTGATTTCACATAGCCTTGCTTTCCCAAATGTTGTTCTCATCCTGGGTGGACTGCAGTTTCGACCTCGCATAGGTCTTATCAACACCCTCAGCGGGATTC